TTTTGAGTTAGTTCGCAGGAAGGTAGGCATATCCACTTTTGTGAATCCTTCATCGTCCTTAATGTTCTTTCATAGTCCCCGTTCTATCATCGGCTTTTCACGGCCCGTATGTTTCTTTGTATCACTTCGCTAGGGTAGTCATTGTCGAGCAATATACTAGTCAATTTATCCAGCTCCTCGTCCCAGAATTTTACATCCGTTAGGCGTAGGCTTAGGATGATCATGCTCATCATTATTCCAATCTTCAGCCTGTAATTGTGATGGGACCGGAAATTGAATATTATCCCAGCATATGACTTCTTTCTGTACAATTTCTTTTTGAGCGTCCCATTAGAGCGAATTACTTCAACGTCCAAGAACGGTAACTACTTCTCTTCTTCTACATCCATAGTGAATTGAAATTTTTCATCAATCTGGTTTACAAACTTCTGAAACTCTTCCAATTTTTCTCTTCCATGTGCTAGGTAATCATCCAGGTACCGCATGACCACTGCCGGTTGTAGCGGTGCCATCTTGAAGCTCTCTTCTATTTTGTTCATGTATACGTTTGCCAAAAGTGGTGAGAGTGATGATCGCATGATAAGTCCAAATATTTCTTCATAGATGTTCCCGTAGAATGTAAAATAGGTCAAGTTGATTAGTCTTGTTAACGACCCGCTGCAGATTCGTCGTATTTCCAGTATATTCTCCCCTTGGTACAGCATTTCCAGAAGGGCCATTAGCGCATTTTCCCCATAGATATTTATATACATCGATTCCACATCGAAACTTACCAATAAGTTCGTTTCTTCCAGTGCTATGATTCTGATTTTTTGAAAAAAATCATATGAATGTTTCACCGTGATTGATAGCCTCTTATTTAATTTGTTGAGTTTCAAACATATAAAGTTTGCTCATTTGTGAGTTGCTTCATACTTGTTGATTATCGGCCTTAGTAGCTCGCCTTCTTTGTGTATCTTCGGTAATCCGTTTTCTGTTGGTGGTCGTGCATTCTTTCTTATGATTGAATTTCTTGTCCACGCGTCAGTTTATCCGTTCCTATGCATATCTTTCAGCATGGCATATAAGATTCCATTGATCCTCATAGTTGGGTCCTTGTTTAGTATACGATATGTGGTCCTGTCTCGTAGAATATGCTCTATCTTCTCGGTATATTGTTTTTTGTCCATTATCACTGTAGCTCATCCTTTGTCCGCCTAAGGGCTTAATTGTTTATTCGTTTCGAGGGTTTTGCGTATCACAGTAAATCTGTTCTTGTGTGTAGACTCATGATGTGTAAAGATCTTTGGAATTAGTACCATCTCCATTTCCCGTTTTGTCTCCTCAAAGAACTTGTCGGCGATATTGATAACCTCCACATGATCATCCGAAGCCTACGCCTAATGGATGTATAATTCTGGGACTAGGAGCTAGACAAATTGACGGGGATATTCCTCGGCAATGACTACCCTAGCGGAGTGATACAAAGAAGCATACGGGCCGTGAAAAGCTGATGGTAGAACAGAAACTATGAAAGAACAATAAGGACGATGAAGGATTTACAAAAGTTGATATGCCTACCTTCCTGCGAACTAACTCAAAAACTACGGCCAATAATGAGTAAATGGACTATTTAGGTGGCCATGAAATAGAAATCAACACTTTTCACAAGTCTACCAACTCAATGTGGAAGGGTAGACAAATGGGATTGTTCAGGAGTTTACTGTATATCATGCGGAGCCTGCGATCCGAAAAATTAGCACACGAATCAAGAAACATCAGAGGCTCTGCAGGAAAATGGATACCGAAAGATCAGAACTAGAGGAACACATCGCACAGACTGGACACGAGATCAATTGGAAGGCAATAGAAAGAAGACCTCCATACGGGGACAACACAAGGAAGCGCAAGATTATCGAGGCCATTGACATAATTGTGGAGAAAAATCTAATGAACAGGAGATTGGAGGATGGTAGAGTTAGCGATAACTTTGCCTACTGACTAAGCAAACTGGGGGAAAACAAGAATAGAGCAAGACCAGCAAAAAAGAGACACCTCGATCAAGGATCTACCGCTAACGGGAGGAAAATTGATCGCGAGGAAGAAAGTAATGGAAAGGGGTTTTTGGCAATAAAGCGAAGACGTCTTTAATGAGTGATGTCAGTTTCGAATAAACTAATACAACTTTGGGGGCCTGATTGTCATGGTGCTGGGCAGACGGATAAGCAAACCGTCACGGAAATTCGGCGTTATGGTATAATGTACTATGAATCCACTTGAGATGCCGCATGCGACCAGAGATAGGAGTCCACAGTTTGCTCAGATAACATGTGTTTAATCAAGGAGACGACCAGTGTAGGGAAGGCCTGATATTTGCAAGCATGGGAATCAAAGGTTCAGCGCACAGCTTAGTGAAGCGGCAGTGTATGTGCTTCTAAGGCCTTAAGAAATAGCGCCTGGAGTGAAATAGACGTTTGAGAATGTACGAAGTCGACCGTCTGATGCTAGGAATCATGACAACTACTATGACAGACTACTTCGGACTAGGTACGTTTTACTAAGTTGCCCTGACAACAAGACCGAGTTGTGACAACGAGGTCAACCCATTTCTATAAAAATAGGATAGATTGGAAATACCAGGACACACTTCACTGTTCGGCCGCAGCATCAACTGGGATGCAAAGGAGAGGATGGCTGCATATAGTGAAACTTCAAAAGAACGTGCAATCAGGGAAGTCGTGGATAGCTTTGTTTAAAGGAACCCAATAAAGAGGTTTACAAGGGTAGGGTACTAGACAATTTTGAGTAGTTTAGGCAAACTTGGAGGAACTCGGACTTCAGCAAGGAAATTTAAAAGTTCCAAGAACGCCTAGTTCTAGGAGATTACTCGAACAATATGAAGAGACGTCATCAGAGCGCAACCTCAAGAGAAGGCGAAGGTAGCGGGTGTAGTAAAACCCAAAAAATTGCCGAAGTTGGTTCAGCTGGGGATATAGAAATAGTGGATAATGTGAATAGGTTGCAATTATAAATGCCAATATAAACCTACTCCAAGTTCAAATGGGTGTCGGAGCTGAGGTTGGGCTACTCACCAGTTTGCATCCTGCGCATGTGTCGAATGTGTATATGTAGTGAATGGTGGTCCATTAAATGTCGCACAAATGGATTTAGTAGCCAATTTACACACGCCGAACAAAGAGTAGCATCGGGATTAGGTGGAACTGGTGAGATTGGAGGAAGATGAGTGTTTTATTTGATTCAGATGTGGACAAATGAAGGGATAGATATTCACACACACAAACATACAAGGTCCCCAGATGATGTAGAATGGGATGAAGGTAGGGAAGATGGTGGCCAAGCGATAGGGTTTCCACAGTTTAAACTAGTTCACATATTCTCTTTGGCTTATAGACAAAAACTTAAATGAACATAGAAGTTGTTTGACCTTATTTTCGCAACTCTGG